AACTAAGCTACAGTATCTGGCCACTCTAGCGACCAAACCCAAACGTTAAAATAGTTTCAAAGTATTCTTTCACCGCAATTGATATAACATTTATTTGAAGATCTCCCTGATTTCTATACAAGTATCAGAATTGAATGGTTATCTCCCTTTGATATGAATATATGATACGCAGAGAATTTGAAATGATGTAGGTTATATTTTGATGTCCAGAGGAAATAGTAGACTTCTCCAAAACTGAATTGTGATCATTTTATTATAGTGCTTACTACATTCACAGATCTCAAGAGAGATTTAAAATTTCCAGATCCTATCCCTATTTAAACTGAAGACATTAAAAAAATGTTCAAGATCTGCTACAAATTTTTATGGTCATTAGAAGTGTTTACCAACATAATATTTTAGCTTTATGTCTTCAAGATAAAACACAAATTGTTAATGTTTTCAAACACATTTCAGATGGAACTGAACTTATTTTGTTTGTTTGTTTGTTTGTTTTTTTTAAATTCACAAAACTGGTAGTTTGAGAATTTTTTTTCAATATTTTTCAATATTTCAATGCAACTGTCATAATTCAATTTAAAATGCCTATATTTTTCTAAAAATGAACTCCCTTCAAAAAGCAGTTAAAAAAGATAAATAATCCTACATTCAATCGCATTTTTTAAGCAAGCAAGTGGAAATGCAGGATTCCTGCCACCCGGTGATTTTACAAAAGCTGGCAATTCAACCATCATCTAGGAGAATAATAGAACCAGGGGCAGCATCAATTAGGAAGCAATTCCTGGCACTACTGCTGTGGGAATTCCAATTGGTTTAATGGATTTCATTTACTGGGAATCATATTAAAGTACATTACACATAAAAAGCAGAGCATTTCCACATTCAACATAAGTGCAAGCTTTTTTTCCTCTAAATTTCTGATTCAATGAATCATTCATAGATTTCAAGAAATTTCAAAATCTCAAAATTTACTCATGATAAACATTCTAACCCTTTTTAAATATCATGTAATTCTGCATATAAATATATAAATTTTATATCAATAATTAAAAATGTTAAGAGGGTGAATTTTTTGAAAATGTATTTTAAAATTACATAAGAATACAATTAAGCTAGGTTAAAGATACTTTACATAGTTATGTACTGTAATGAATTCTTTATAAGTTATCATATTATAAACTCCAGTATTTTCTTCAACCCTCCCTGTTTCAATACATGTATGTATCTATCTTTCAAACATTTTCATGCTCTATTTTTCAGTACTTATTATTTGAAACATAGCTCAGTAATTTTTATTTTTCAAATAGTTGAAATCATTTCTCTTTGTAATGCTGTGGATTAAAAAAGTCTTATGCAGCAAAAAGAAAAAAAAAATCAACAAAATTTATTTGCTCAAGAAATTCATCACATATTAACACTGGCAACAACTAAATCACTTTAAAATGAAAAACCTACGCATGGAATAAATAGTCATCAATCAGATAATGTTAAAAAAGAAATGACTCATCTCAATGTTACCAGGTATAACAAATTTGAATTCCATATGCAGTATATTCACACTCAGATAACCTGTTTTAAAAATCACAAAACATGGCTGCATAGAATTGATTTCAAAATCATTATAAAGAATGAAATCATATGCATGTGTATAAATTATGGTAAATAAAACTATTGTGTGAAAGCTGCATGATTTTTTTTTTTTAATTTCATCCATTAATAACAGGAAGTTTTTGTTCAGACATACACTTAATGTGTCTTCTCTGTTGTCAAATTTAGAGATGACATTTGTAAGTCTCTGACAAGACTGAAGCTTTAATGATCTAAACTTGACAGAGAAAGCTGTGCCATTTTATTTCTGAATTTTTCAGTGAAAATAAAGGCACTTTCACTTAAAGTAAACAGACTGAGACAGATAAATGTTAATACGATTTCTGAGGTAGCATTTTAACATATATATATATATATAGAGAGAGAGAGAGAGAGAGAGAGCAAAGGTGGATCCAGCGCCAGCACGCCAGGCATGCACCCCCCTCCCCCTTGAATTTTTTTTTTGATATTTTGTTTTTGATATTTATTTTTTTTAAATCACAATATCCTGACACAATATCTCTGCAATGAAAATGTAAAATAAGAGATGCACAATGACACTATGTAATAAATATTCTTTGAAAGTCTCATTAAATTTTATTCAGTGGTATAGGAGGAGTTGCAGATAAGAGTTGGTACCCCCCAAGAGTTATGGTCATACAGATACCCAAGTGTTATGTACAGACACCCCCATCACTGTATACCCCCTGCTTTTCGAGTGAGTGGTTTATTATAATGTATGCTTTTTGAAAAAATCTTGTTTGATTTGGATGTTTGACAATTTTATGTCACACTTAGAAAAGAGGAACAAATTAATGTTGAAAAACTGGTTGCCTGCAAAAAAAACCCCCTGAAAACATGCAGCAAACAAGTTCCACTCATGATTTCCTATTTCTTCAATTAATTCTCAAAAAGATGTCATAGTTCAGCCCCCTGTAGGCCTCCATCCTCACCCCTAATTAATTCTAATTCTTATCATGTAAATTGCTTTTGCATAAATTTCATATTAAGGTACGCTCTCATCCTAAATTAATGGTCTTCATCAAAATCAATACTGAGAACACTCACAGACATATTGAGGCATGTACAGAAATGTCACAGCACCACACAGGAATACCATATATAGTAATAGATTCTGATCAAGCAATCTAATAATTATGTTATCTTTACACTGTCCTTGCTACAGGCTGAGTGGCTGACCATATAAATTGTGTTTGACCTCAATTGCATTTCATGTACCATGCAAGCTATAGGATCTGTGTTCAAATGCTGTTGTACATAGTTACATGTATTCAGTATAATATGCAAGATCTGAAATTAAAGATCATGCTCTTGCATTCAATTATGTAATGTTTTTGTTTTTAGCATGTAAATATGTTATAAATAAAAGATGAACTGAATTTTTGTTGTACGAAAGGCCCTAACCATGGACCCTGATTAGTGCCCTAGTCTTGGAGCCTGATTAGTACCCTAAGGCCAAACAAAAAAATATGTGTGGTTCCGGTTACACTTCCAAAAAAATTAGGGTAGGTAGGTAGGGATTTTTTTTTTTTTTTTTTTTTTTAACAAAATGATTTTCTTAATTTTTTCTAAATAATACCTACCACTGCTTTGCAAATGGCATTTAGATGTGGTGTGACAATATACTAGTCAATATTGGTAGGGGACACTTACAATGCTAGCTTGCTTTGGATTTAACACTATTAAACACTTGCACTATGTTTTGCAAGGAGGCCGTCATTGCTGAAACTAAAACCTAAACTGGAGCCATTGATGGAAATCGGGGAAAATTCCGGAAAAAATATGAAAATTGCCAAAAAAAAGTTTAGGGTCGGGGTTATAAAATAGGGAAGGTCAGGTAACCGGAACCACACATATTTTTTTATTTGGCCTAATTATGGCGCCTAACAGATGTTCTAAATGTGTTAGGTGTCTTAATTGACACCAAACAATGGTGCAGCAGCCCTAATACTTGGAGCCTAATGCCCTAACAGGTGCCCTAACCATGGAGCCTAATGCCCTAATAGGTGCCCTAACCATGGAACCTAATGCCCTAACAGGTGCCCTAACCGACTAATGCCCTAACAGGTGCCCTAACCGACTAATGCCCTAACAGGTGCCCTAACCGACTAATGCCCTAACAGGTGCCCTAACCATGGAGCCTAATGCCCTAATAGGTGCCCTAACCATGGAACCTAATGCCCTAATAGGTGCCCTAACCATGGAACCTAATGCCCTAACAATGGACCCTAATGCCCTAACAGGTGCCCTAACCGACTAATGCCCTAACAGGTGCCCTAACCGACTAATGCCCTAACAGGTGCCCTAACTATGGAGCCTAACGCCCTAACAGGGGCCCTAACTATGGAGCCTAATGCCCTAACATGTGCCCTAACTATGGAGCCTAATACCTTAACGGGTGCCCTACTGACGTTAGATGTCAGACATGGTATATAAGGGGAGATAGAGAGTAAACGGAAACATATAGCTTGTACTTGATTTGTAAACTACAACTGGATATTATTATACTCGTTGAATTAAAACTCTGCTGTTGTTGTTTTTTTGTTAGATCTATAAGGATCTATAGTTCCTAACTAAACACAGGATCCACAATATTTTGTGACGCAGGGACTTTGTGAATAGTCACTTACTAAGGACTGAATCCTAGAGTTATCGTCCGGATAACCTGAAAAATCTCACCATTTTTAAGTTCCTGCACATGCCTTGAAATATTTTATCAACATTTCAAACTTTGTTTTTTTTTCTTCTTGCTTATGTGCATGACATAGCACTATATCAATCAACTTATCCATCCAAAAATGTTTCACGTGGAAGAACGCTTTTGCTGAATTTTTTCCTAATCTTGTTCCACAATTTCATGTAAAAAATGAGAGTAATTTTGCTTTACAGTGAGGTTGACTTGATCTGTAATTTGCTGCTATCTCTTGTTAATCAATGTGTGTTAAAAACTACATTTTGACACATAGCTTAGTCATGGTTAGGGGCTATAAATGAGGATCCCTAGGGGGTTGCTCAGACAAAACTGAATCGGAATATAGTTCTAACTTCTGGTTGTGGTCATATACTCCATTTATAAACCTTATTGTTGGCACAATAAATGTGGCTTTTACCTATTCTGTTACATAACACACTGTAACAATGCGTCAAAAATAATATATGGCCAGTTATGTAAACAACTTTGCAAACGACTTCAACTTTCAAGTCACTAGGCTAAATCTTGTGAAAATTTTAGTTATGGGTCGCACATTATTACGAGTCTTCTTTCTCAATACATCTAGTTCATGTGGTAAATTCTGCATCAATTTTTGTCAACTCAAAAATTACCTTCCAGGCAATACTTGGTACATTTTTTAAAAAACATCTATTTTTTGGAAAACACCTTTCATTCTTACCTCTTCGTCCTCGTCTTTCGAATGTCCGTTGTGATTTTCGACTGTAGCTTCAGTTGGAAATTCTGATTCCATAGCTCAGCTTTTTATTTTACCTCTTGGTAAAATTTGCTTCTGAAAAAAATGTCAACGGCAAGTTGACCGAGCACACACCGTCAACTCTCTCAATGGCGGCGAACTATTTTTAGAATTTCAAATTTTTCGGACAGGTGCGAAAGATACGCGTGTAGCTTACAGGCAAAGAGAGGTAACTCTATTTTAGTTTTCTACTTTAACGCGCATGCGATTTATCTCCCTTCTGTTTCCAAGCACTCAATTTTTCACATCATTCTTAAAAAATTGTGCAGTCACAAGTCGGAGAATTTCTAAAACTAATTAATAGTTAAATGTTCAAATCGAAATGCATTCATATTGTGTATATTTTGTATAAATAATGTTCATGAACAAAATGCAAAACATGAGCAGTATAAAAAGCGGTCAAGTTTAAACAGTACCAAGTCTTGTGATTTTTTTATAAGCTTACCCAGAGATATAAATATCACATTAAGCTATATATTTAATCATATATGTAATATATATATACTTATTGTATTATATATGTCTCTTGCTTTATGTTGGTGGTCTTTTTTGATCAGTCGAAGTTTGTCTATCTGTCTGTGCTGATGCCGGTAACTTTTTACATTTAAATCTTCTCGAGAACCGCTGGACCAGTTTTCAAACAAATCATCATTGCATGGATAAAGGGGAATCAAGACTGTTAAAATCGAGTTGTCATACATGCATCCCCTTCCAACGTACACCCAACTTCGAGGCACAGATAACCATGCACGTGCACTGTGTCATTTTATAAGGAAGCTTCCAGTTATGATATTGTAGACTCAAGTTCCAGGCTATGCTGAAGCCAAAAGTAAGGTCTCTTTTTTTTGCTCTGTAAAATAGAAGTCCAAGCGGATTAGTCATGTGGCAAGCATCCCCAAACAGTGTACAGATCAGGGGCTATACAACTGGAGGCAAGAAAGCAGGGTCAAGATTTTAATAACGACTCTGAGACAGCAACATTTTTCAAAATTCTACTGAGTTAGAGTCAGATTACTTTTGAGGTTTTACGTTGTATCACTATTCGTTCTAGTTTTATCTTTAAATTGATTGATTGACAGATTTATTTACTTATTTATTTATTTATTTATTTATTTATTTATTTATCTATTTATTTATTTATCTATTTATTTATTTATTTATTTATTTATTTATTTATTTATTTATTTATTTATTTATTTATTTATTTATATATTTATTTATTTATTTATATTTTTCAGAAGAGCAGGGGTGTTCATATGATGCCATTCTAAGTAAAGTTTGTTCATACAATATAAAAAAAAGGATCTAAAAAACATTCTTCTCGAGAACAAAGGACAAAAAGCATCCAACTGATATGCAAGCAGCAATCCCCATGCAGTCAGATATGCCCAAAACATGAACCCGTAGGATTCGGCATTGGTCATTGAAGACCATGCCAAAACAAGAGGCTCAGGGGCCACATCGCTCACCTGAGCACTGTGGCTAGGAAAAAAGCAAAAATCAGTTTAGTATTGAAAAGATTAAATGCATAAGTGGTCCCGATTACCCCTAAAGGGAGGGAGGTATGATTTGAACAAAATTGAACCTACACTAACTAAGGATGCTTACATATTTTTTTGACTAACTGTGACCTTTTTTCCTACAAGTTTGAACTTTTTTTGTGTGGCCCTACCCTACCCCCAGGGGGTCATGATTTGAACAAACTTGAATCTACACAATCTGAGGATGTTTCCATATAAATATGACCAATCATAGCTTTGTTGTTCTTGAGAAGATTTTTGAAGATTTTCCCTATAATAATAATAATAATAATAATAATAATACTTTATTTAAAGAGGGTAACCCGATTAGTGCAATGCACTAGTCTTCCTCGGGGCCCTCTAAACATATTAATAATAATACAATTACATGTATGAAAACATTGTACACTAATTAAATAATACAACATGATGGAAAAATACAAGTACAATTAAAAGTTTAGGACATGGAATTACGTTACTTAAACAGTGTTGCGGCAAGTTATAATAAATTTTTCCACATTTTTACGAAATGTGTTTACAGTTGGTGAAAAACGTATATACAAAGGTAATTTGTTCCATAAATGAACACCGGAATAATGAAAAGAATTTTTAAATTGATTTGTTCGATATTTCGGTAGACGAAGGTCATAGTTGGTTTCAGATCGTAAAACATAATTATTAGAAGAAATAAATTCAAAAGAGTCTCTTAAATAATCAGGTGCCATACCATGAAGTGTTTTGTACAGTAATACATATTTATGAAAATCAATCAACTCATATATGGTAAGCCATCCAAGTTTTTCAAATAATGGTAGTGAAGGGGCATCATAAGCCACATCTAATATAATCCGGGCTGCCCTTTTTTGCAATTTAAAAACCCTATCTATGCCAGCACCTGGCGCATTACCCCAAATAGTTAGACAATAATTTAAAGAAGGCAGAATGTAGGCATTATAGAATAGTTTTCTTGTGTGTAACGGGAGAAATTTTTTAATTCTGCGTAAGGTATATAATTTATACGTCAAAGATTTACAAACTGAGTCAATATGGTAATTATAGCGCAATGAATGATCAATATATACTCCCAAAAGTTTTCAGATTCAACATTTTCAATTAATTTGTTTGAAGCATATAAATTTAATTCAAGAGAATTTATCTTTGATTTTCTATGTTGAGTTCCCATAAGCATACATTTTGTCTTATTGGTATTCAACACCATTTGATTTTTGGAACACCAATTTTCAATCTCACACAAATCAAAGTTAAGGGCATTCTCAATACCTTCTACATTTTTATGATGTGTATGTAAGGTTGCATCATCAGCAAACATATCAATATCTGTTCTATTTACATGTAAAGGGAGATCATTTATATACAATAAAAATAATAGGGGACCTAAGATAGATCCCTGGGGCACTCCTGCTGTGACAGGCAAGAAATCAGAGGAATATGTACCTATTTTTACACACTGAGACCTTGAGGTTAGATAAGAATGAAACCATTTAATAGCCATTTGGTCAAAGTGATATGATTGAAGTTTACTTATAAGGATATCATGATTTACCAAATCAAATGCCTTGCTAAAATCAAGGAAAGTTATGCCTACTAGATTTCCTTGGTCCATAGCTTGTAACCAATTATCTGTTAGTTTTGTTAGAGCCGTTTGACATGAATGAAATTCTCGAAATCCAGATTGTGATTTAAATAAAAGATCAAAGCTAGAGGTAAAGTTACGTATTTGATCGGCTATGTGTTTTTCAACTAATTTTGATAATGTTGGAAGAATGGATATGGGTCTGTAGTTCCCTGGATCTGCGTGGTCGCCATTTTTGAAAATAGGAGTGACTTTTGCTTGTTTTAAACGGGATGGAAATACACCATTAGTAATGCTAGCATTTATAAGATGTGTAATAGATTTGCATATAACATTTACCGAAAGTTTTAGTAGACGAGGTCCAATAAAGTCATTGTGGCTCCACCCTACCCCTGGGGATCATGATTCGAATAAATTTGAACCTACACCACCTGCAGATGCTTCCATATAAATATGAGCAATCATAGCATTGCTGTTCTTGAGAAGAAGATTTTTAAATATTTTCCCTATATATTCTTATGTAAAACTTTGATCGTCCACTGTAGCTTCACCTTACCCCAGGGGGTCATGATTTGAACAAACTTGAATCTACACCACCTGAGGATGCTTTCACATAAATATGACCAATCATTGCTTTGCTGTTCTTGAGAAGAAGATTTTTAAAGATTTTTCCTATGTATTCCTATGTAAAACTTTGATCGTCCATTGTAGCCCCACCCTACCCCCGGGGGTCATGATTTGAACAAACTTGAATATACACTACATGACAATGACTACATGAGTTTCATCTTTCCTGGCCCATTGGTTCTTGAGAAGAATATGACATTGATTTTTCGCTAATATTTCGTAATTATCTCCCCTTGGAGGAGGGCGTGGCCCTTCATTTGAAAAAAAAAAAACTTTCACCCAAGGATATTCTGTGCCAAGTTTGGTTGAAATTGGCCTAGCAGTTCTGGAGATGGAGATAAAATTGTGAAAAGTTTACAACGACAACGACAGACAACGGACAAACTCACATGAGCCTTCTGCTCAGACGAGCTAAAAAAAAAAGTCATAGCTGTCTACATTCATGGCCGTTGGAACCGAAGCCCCCCCCCCCCCCATTTTGCCGATATATAGTATTCTCTAGAAAACAAAGCTACTTTATGGATGTGTCCCCTCAATAAATGCTCTGGTAGCTTTTTAGTTTTTTCTTCTTCATTTCTTTACATGTATTTTATCTTATTTATTTTTATTATGACTAAATGAAATCCCGCGCATAATTTTTTTTTTTGGCCAAGGAATTTTTGCTTGGTAGTGCCAACCCACACTGAAACTGTTTGGTTGTGCCCCTCCCCCCAAATAATAAATGAAATTGCTTCCTACGGCCCGATATTTATGTATGCTAATCACGGAGTTACTGAGATTCCTTTAGAATGGTGCATGCATCACTCTTAGGGGAATATCAGTGATAAACACATTTTGCGTTAACCCCTAATCTACAGACTGGATAAGATTTCTTCAGGGTGTCGCCTGGATTCTGGAAAGGAAGGGTTGGGCGGGGAGGGGGGGGGTAGGCCGCCGCCAATATTTTTTTTTAAATAAATGAGTACCTGGACTCTGCATGGTGCATTCTAGAAGTTATTTTAACAAAATCTAGAGTAAATAATTTAAACAGAATAATGAATTTATTGTCTTTGGAAAAAGATATATTCAAGTTTCGAGATTTTTGTTTGACGGTTTGTTTTCCTTTCAAAGAGATCGAATAGTGTCTCTGGTGAGCATTAAGGTCAATGAGCCTGTTGTTTGATATATTCTAGATTACTTCCATTATATTACAAAACAAGTCAAAGTTCTATACAGTATGTTTTAAATGCATGTGGACATGACGGATGTAGGCTCTTGAGAAGCACGAAATAAATATGAACGAAGTATTTAATATATTGAATAGAATTGGTTGATGAACAACTTGACTTATTTTAGAAAGTGGATTGCTAATTAACGAAATTTACTTATTTAGGCAAGTACGTCAGGTAAGAGTAAAACTTGTGAGTCATGTCTATATTTGTTGATCTTGTTGTTTGTGGGATGTGAAAGGACCACAGAAATTTGACAAACAGAGCGCAAATATCTGTATCGGGTCGAGGGTATAATCAGATGATATTCATGTTCAAATTATGATTTACCCGAACAGTTTACTTTTAAAAAAGTTTTTATAGGAAGAGCAAACTTATAGACTTAGGAGGAATTCTAGTCACCGTTTAAATAAAAAGAAAGTCTGGACAAAGATTTTATTTCAATTGTATGTGTATGAGTGGGGGATCACAAGGGCCAGGTAATTGAAGGATAGGTCAGTGAACTTTTTTGTGAGCTTGATAGCTAGTGAACAGAGACTGTCTTTGATGTACATATGCTATTAAGCCAATTATATATATATATATATATAACATAATAAGGAATAAATTGTAATTTATCTTTGAAATGGTAAGTAATGTAATAGTTAGATCATTATGTGTACAGGTCCAGCAGAATCTCTTTATTAACTTATTTAGCTAAGTCCAATCCATACTTTGCACAAGTTGTGTCTCTTTGTGGGGTCAATTAAAAGGTCAAAGAAACGACATTTCTCCTCTATTTGGGCGTGCTCCATTGAATCCACTTTAAATTATTTTCTTTCAATGTATGGGTAGCCCATGCAATCCTGAGGCAATCAATATACCATCGTCTCAATCCAGGGTCCGAAGTCCGCATATAGCTCTCTCCTACCCGTGGCTGCTTGATCTCAAAAAGTGTCGTAATCTTGAATATTTATGCTTCTATGTTGTGACATCATCTTCAGCCAATGAAAATATTTGTTTCCATCGCAATTGAAATCAACAACTGACATCAACAGTATACAAGAATTGTTTCATATACTGCGATTGGGTATTGAAAGGTTGCGTCAAAGTTCATTATCCGACTATGCTTTACTCGCATTGGTCAATATTTTAATGAGCTGCGAAATATTCTCTTCTCATTCAACCACGGCCAGGATGGGAGAGGATCGTACATTTTGGCCGTGGTTTGCGACGATGTCAGTGTACAAGATGCACAGATTTTTTCCCAATCAAATGACAAAGTTACAAACCAAGACACTACAAAGGCTACTGTGAGGATTCTATCATGGGTTTTTCCCCAAAGTTGGCAGCCAAGGGACATAACTTTTGAAAGTGTGGATTCATCTATGTAGCTTGAATGGTATCAAGTCAACTCATATCCTGATCGACTCATAAACAAGTCAACTTGAACCCAATGCATCAACTCGTAACCAAAGGCAAAAGTGAACTCTTAACCTAGACTCCAGTTATGAGCTGACTATGGACTTTTAAAGAGAGAAGACCCAGCCTTGTGTCTGCATGGTTACGGGTTGACTTTTCCTTATTAGTTCATGAGTTGATGCATTGGGTTCAAGTTGACTAGTTTATGAGTGGGCACTGTGGGTTAGGTTACAACTTGACCAGAAACTGCTTGCTTTCTTAACTACTCAAAATAGATTGATAAAGCTATTTATATGCAGTTTTTTACAGGGATGCTTTTTGTAAGAAATATACAAGTTGCAAATATTTGACCATTCATATAATGTATAATCTATGGACTATTAAAAAAGCAATCCAAATCAAAAATATTTGTAACACTGCAGATTTTGAATACTCTTAAGCAAAAGATGTATTTCCATTTTTTGGATTACTGTATACACCTTGTGTGCATTTAGGCATGGATAATTATGATTACTTCACACTGTGTTGAATTATTACCAATCAATTATTTTGTTGACTAAAATTGACTTCCGCGCCTTTATAATTGCATTCAAGAAGTAACTGTGCAGTCACAAATCAATTGCTTTATATAGCCCAAAAAACTTTTAGAACTTTGAGTACAAAGTCTCTCAAAGATTTTTACATGCATTGTTTTAGGAAGAGTTTAAAACTGAATGCTTTCATTGGATTCATTGCACCAAGATGCGACTTTCTGTATATGCTGAAAAAAATATTGAAGAAAGAAGTGTGGTAAAATAGCTAAATCAAGCTATTCTGAATAGCTTAATAATGCTAAATAGCTAATTCAAGCGATATAGCTTAATCAAAAGATTGTGCTGGACATGCTGTATTGAGATCAAGCACTTAATCACTAAAATTTTACTTAAAATGATTTGACTAATCCAAAGTTCTACACTTATCAAATGTTTTTTCTTTTGGCTTTGTTTCTCAAATCTGTTAATTAACTATAAACACTATACATTTATTGACTGGATTCGAGGGAAACATGCATTTTGTTGGACCAAAGAACAAAACTGTTTGCCTTAGACTGTTAGGCCGGAGTTTGTTCAAATCATGGCTCCTAGGGATAAGATGGGGCTTCAATGAGGGATAAAATTTTAATGGAAATTTATAGGAAAAATTCTTTAAAATCCTTCTCAAGAATAGAGGGCCATGATTAGTCACATTTATATTTTTGCATCCTCAGATAGTGTAGAATCAAGTTTGCATGTTCAAATCATGGTGCCGGGGATAAGATAATGCCACAATTAAGTTTTATGATTTATAGAGAAAATTAATTTTCTCTATAAATTTATAAAAGTTCAAAAATCTTCTAAAGAACAACTAGGCCATGATAAGTCATATTGAATAATATCAAGCAGACTCAGGTAGTGCAGATTCAAGTTAGTTCATGGTCCCTGGGGATAGAGTTGGGCTGCAATAAGGATTTTACTTTGGAATGTAGGAAATTTCCGAAAAAAAAAATTCAAGAGTAGCAGTCATACTAAATTTTATTGATATTCAAACATTTCAAAGATATGAGAATTTAATTTTTTTTTTTTCAAATAATGTACCTTGGTATTAGAATGTGGCTAAAATTGGGGATCAAACTCAGGTGAGCATTGTGGCCCGTGGGCCTCTTGTTATGTACTACATGTATATTATGGATTTGATAATGTATTATAAATTAGAAAGAAATACACCCCCAAAGGTTTTTGTTTTTTTTGTTTTTTGTAATTTGCTTGCCAAAGAACAGTAAAGATAGATACATAGGCCTATATCCGACAAATGTAAATGACATCATAGAATATTGGCACATGTTTTTGCACATGATTAATTATGAGGCATTGTTTAGCATTAGCTTAACACTGAAAAAGTTAATGACAATGAATTCTAAGCATTGTATTAGATTGTACCCCTTGCTCTCTTTCATTCTGTATTATTCTTTGAATTTCCAATTGATTCCCAATTTTCCTACATATACTTCAGTGTGACTGAAGTAAGACTTGCTGGTTGTTTAAATATTGTTGCAGTAAAGCTTACAGAGCATTCTGAATAAGTGCATAGTACATGTAATAAATAAAAAATTTCTAGCATCATCATTACAATGGTGTAAGTCTGCAAACAATATTAATTGCTAAAATTTTAATTTATGTAATTGGCATAATGAACAAAACTATCTTGAAGATTTTTTTTTTTTACATAGACTGTTTTGAATTGTAGAATTGTGATATTAAAGGTTTGATAAAGTAAAAAGTACCAATAACCTCTAGGATTACTCCGCCCAAAAATTCACAACATTTTGTATTCAGTTGATAATCCTTTGGTTAATAGCTCTGCTTGGTGACAAAATATTGCTTTGCTCAAGGCATATGCATGTATTCTCTGTATATGTACTAAATTTGTTTATATAGAATATATTTATTTTACTTTGTACATTGGATGATTTGAAAAAAAAGGATGTATTTTTGTGTTTTCAGATTAAATGCAATGGATGTACAAATTGGAAGAGATGTTCCCATAAATGAATTAATGTCGCAAGACTCTCCAGAGGACATCAAGGATGTAGTTTGTCAGTTAATTAGTCAGGGGGCAATTAACTCCAGAGACCACATGGGATCAACTCCCCTCCACATAGCAACCAAGTGTGGAAATGTGGAAATGGTGGAAAAACTGCTTGAGAGTGGAGCATCAGTCTTTGAAGAGGATCTCCGCGGATTCCTTCCACTCCATGTGGCATCAACTCAAGGACATACTAAGATTGTACAGTTACTTTTGAACAAGGGCTGTAATATAGACAAATCTTCAGCTGCCAAATTTTCACCTCTTCATTGTGCCTCACAGAATGGAAAGTCTGACGTAGTGAGCCTCTTATTACAGAGGGGGGCATCTTTGGATCCTCAAAATAGCTACGGACAGACTCCTCTCATGTTGGCTGTGAGTGAAGGTCATGAAGAAGTGGTAAGTCTGTTGGTGGATGCAGGTTCAGACCTTAACATGAGGGATAAGTCCACCTTAAGCGTTTTCCACCATGCAGTAAACAAGAGTTCTCCAAAGTGTCTGCAAATTCTACTAACAAAAGTAGAAAAAGGTAAAATGCTTGACCACACCAACATTCATGGACTGTCCCCTTTTCAGTTGGCTTTAACAAAGTTTATTAATCAGCCAGAAAGTCATAGTGAGATGCTGGAAAAACTGAAAATGTTTATAAAGGCAGGTGCTTCACCTAGACTTCTAGACAGACCCAGAACATTCCACATGATGAAATCGCCCTCTGTCTTTGAAAAACTTGTGGTTAGTGGAAATGTGGATGTTGTGTCTTTGATTTTGCAAACAAACATAAGGCAAAATATACACAAAGAAGTAGACAGAGTTTTTTCCAGTCTGAAGGATGGGAATATTCAGAGTGCCTCCAAAGATATGGCTGGACTTCTCCTGAATTACCTCAGCAACGTGGCCAGTCTACAACATTTATGTAGAATGGCCATCATAGGCAATATTGAACCTGGGTATCAAAGCATTTGTCAACTGCCTCTACCTCAGAACTTAAAGAATTATTTGCAATTTTCTGATCTTGATTGAAAGTTAACCAGGAGAGGAAAATATTCCAGTGACATAAGTTACCTGTCAAGCTTTTTGTCCATAGGGAAATTCATCCGAGCAGATCATCATTTTTGCCTATATGGTAGTACCTGTTAAGTTTAAGACAGTATTTTTGCTGTTTTTTAATGTTTTTTTTTAATCCAGTGGATTTCCATAATTTCATATTTTACATTCATGGACGTAGTTGAATATTACGAATATGGTAATTGTTTTCAATGGGTTGATACTACATATAACAATGATGTACAGTTGAACTTCTTTATCACAAACACTGATATCTCGAATACCATGGATATGTCGAAATAAATTGGAAGTCTCAACCACATATTTTTCAACTAATGAATTAATGGTACCATAGAAATTAAAGCATATAATTAAATGTTTAACACATACAAACGTGATATACTATCTCAAAACAGATGTTTTCACTGGGAATACCATTAAGTTTGCACGTTCCGATACATAGTATCATGTACAAAAAATTGTAGAAAATTGGTAAGTATGGCTTCGCCCAATCTTCCAAATTTGCCCTATCTATGGAATTTTTAAAAATTAAGGCTAAAAATGAGCCTTTTGAACTATTTAAAACATCTACATATACCCCCGAAAATTACGGTATTTAAACATTGATATCTCGTATACTCAGTTATCTAGAAATTTTTTCTCGGTTTGACTTTTTTTTTTAATCACGAGTCAAAAAAGAACAAACTAAAAATCTGATGAATGATGTATACCTGGTAGAGGTGTATTATAAAAAAGGCTTTTTAACAATCAAAAATTATTATTTTAATATTGCACATATATTTATATATCATTAACTAGGGAAACTGTTGCGTTATTAAAACTAAATACAATTCACAAGTCATATTGCAAGTTATCACTCTTGACACTGTAAATTCACTTGATATATTTTTGTCCAAGTATAAAAGAAAAATGATGAAGTGAATAAAATGTGAAAGAGAAAGATATGGCGAAATTTTAAATTTATAAATTCTAGATGTAAAAAACTATAGAGGTCAAATTATTATTTAGCAGGTTAATATTTATATCATGTACATTGTATATTGCATCCAATATGATAGTAAGAATCTACAGAAAAATGATATATGTATATTATTCAAGTACCTCAGACCAGTAAAGTAGATTTACTGAAATCTGAAATACATTCCACACTATGATTAAAGATTGACCCTTTGCTTGTTAAAAAGAAATAATTCATTGTTGTGTATGTGTGTTCAGTCAGGTACCTAAAATACCCTAGAAAATATTCCCTGGCTGTTTGTGAACATATATATATATATATATATATATATATATATATATATATATATATATATATATATATATATATATATATATATATTTACATTTACAATGTCTTTGTCTGAGATAAAATTACAAATTGTAAAAATACTTTATTTCTACATAAATCTACTGGTTCATCGATAGGCGCGGTTAAAAAAAATCACGTGCGGGGCGGGACAAATAAAGACAGAAGCGGGGTTATTAGCACGGGAATTTGCAGAATCAGGAGCATGTAAATATATAAGGAATAACTGTCAGATTTTTTGGATTCATGACGATGATCAATCGATTGGCTTGTGTGATAATTTTATGCATAAACGCCTTCGGCGTTTATGCAAATTATCACGCAAACCACTCGATTGATCACATCATGAATCCAAAAAATTAGACAGTTATTCCTTAAATATATATATATATATATATAGCTGTCAGTTTTAAAAATACATGTATGTTCAAAGCAGGTGCTATAAAAATGCTAATAAATGGGTTTTTTCTTTCTTTTTTTTTTTAATCTGTGTGTCACTTAAATGTTTTCATATTTTGAGGGTAATAAAATTCATATTTTGAGGGTAATAAAATCATTCATTTGATACCAGTTATGAAAATGCTTGCTTATGAAACACAACGTGCAGGTGCTTGAACATGGAAAATGTATCATACAATATACCAATATTTTCTTTTTGTAATTTGATCAACTTATCTTTCATTGCAAATGTTTGTCAATATTGTATTTTTAATTGCGTAACCTGGAAATACAATTTTTAATTATTCGAAAAGCATAGGTTACTTCTGAGGTCATTGTTCTGTTTAATATTTCATAAAGACTGGAGGGATTGGGAAAAAGTGGGAGGGGGATCTGTGTGGAAAATAATTACTTTAATAAAAGGTTTCATTAGGTTTATTATTTTTTAATTTATTCTTTTTCATTACATATGTTTCACTTCTGTTTTATTTTTTTTTTAACCTGTCCAAAAAGAAGAGAAAAAAAATGAGCAACAGGTAGTTTGCATCAGTTAAAACAATAAACAATTAAATAGCCATTTTGATCCAATTTAATTCATGAGTAATTATAAAAATACTTCAGCATTGTTACAATGATGTTTAATGTACTGCCAGTCTGATTAAAATCAGACCTTCATTAGCTCCTTTTTATTTTGATTGTCGTGTTCACGCGACAATCAAAATAAAAAGGAGCTATATAGTGAAGGTTTGATTTTAATCAGACTGACATACTGCACATTTAATTTGTGACTAAAATAATATATGGATATAAAATATGCTTGTAATTTTTTTTTTCAGAAATCAAGATTTAAGAAAAAAAATATACTAGCACATGTACACAAAACTGAAAAATTCATTTTCACCTTATCTATGTAGATTGAGTGCTTTGAAATACATCAACTTTCTGTCCTTAGGAAAGATTGTACATCTATATTATTGTTTGTCTTTTCTGAAGAATTCCTTGATGTTTGACATCAAGTCTTAGATTTTAGACATGGGAAACTATTTTTGGGTGTACGAGAAAAAGATTTTTTTGTAGACTGTTTTTGGAGGCCTTTGATACAATTGTATTATGAGGTTAATTACACAGAATGTACACCATTGCATTGTAAGCATGATGAAGGTTGTGGGAGTTGTTAGTAATAAAGACATATTTTTATTAATATTTTGTGTCATTTTCTGTTCAAGAGTTGATTTTCATCAAGTGCCTTATATTTTGTCAAGTGTCAAAGGGTTAAAAGAAAATATATCAAATATGCAAATTAGCATGGCATGCCTTAACTTCCTTTTTCTCTTCTTCTACAATTAAGAAGACATTAAAAGTGGCAACATCTCTCAAAAATCTTCTCTAATCTCAGTATATCTTATAAGAATATGTGTTTTTTGTAATCAGAGTACTAGAAATGAACTACATGTACCGTTCAATGATTTTTAATATGTATACATAAGCAAGGTTACCCCTTAAAATTAAATCAAAGGTGAAATGATTAAGAGGTATATAATGGTTTTCACACATCCTTTTCTGGTGTCTTTCCATGCTTAGAACCGTAGGCACAGGTTGAAAATTTTTGACGAGATTCTCCCCACCCCCATGAAAAAATATTTGTTAACCAACAGAATATATGCAGGTCGAGAAATTTCTTATGATGATCAACTATAGCCACAGTTTTTTTTCTTGCCAAAATAAGTACATGAGCTAGTCTCTGAGGTCAAGGTCATTGCTGGGTCATGGTATCATAGATACAAAGCATTGTTATGACCAAAATACAAAGCACTGTTATGACCAAGAAAAATTGTTGAGGATAGGAAGAAGCCGTACAGTAAATATAAAGTCTGTAGGAAAAATATGTGAATAAAAGAGTTGTCTCGCTTGTCGCAAAAAACGTTTTCTAAGATGCAAATTGCGTCTTTTGAGAATGCCTTGTATTAAATGAAAACAACAAAAAACAAACAAAACAAAAAAAAACTGTGCACTTTTTAATTGACTATTTAAAGGCTATTTTTAGACTTTAATTTTAATGAATAGATCAGGTTATACCATCTACATAATATTTTTCTTCGATAGCGGAAATCAGCGTACGCAGTAACTGTTCACCTTTTAAAATTTATTTCATATGCTGTAAGTCCTCCCCTTTTCAGTTGAAGGGAGGATTCTGCAGTTCCATTAAATGACGCAACTTGAATTATTTTTGTGCTTAAGCAAAAGTCACAATCAAAGGCAGTTGAAAAATTCATAATATTAATATTTTCACAGTCATTTTTAATTCAACAAAATTTATGAAATGACTTTTAGGTTTCTTAAGTTTGATTGCAAGTTTTAATTTGCATTTAAGTGCATTGTGGTCGTAAAAATCCCCGTAAAATTTGTAAAATAATTAGCAATTCATCATTCGTAACAATTAAGAGGTTGTTTTAATTTGTTACAGTTCAGCGACAGGTACATGTAAAAACTTAACCTTTAGAATATGGATTAACCTTGGATAGCAGGTGACAACGTTTTCGCAAAATTAAAATCTCAAGCTCTGTGAAGATTTCAGAGAATGGGTTGTGCGTACCAGCTAATACGGTAGAGAAAGTTCCACTTTTCTAGGGGGGGGGGGGCAAAATTAAGTCAATTTTTTATTTGCTTCAGTATATACTTTTAATAACTGTAAATTCCAGAGGGGGGGGGTTCGGAACCCCCTCCCTCCTCCCCCTCTAGATCCGCGCATGGGGTATATGCAGGCCTGCCGCCATGAGGTATTTTCTTATGATGATCAACTATACGCCACACAGTTTTTCTTGCCAAAATAAGTACATATGCTAGTCTCTGAGATCAAGGTCATTGCTGGGTCATGGTATCATAGATACAAAGCATTGCTATAACCAAAATACAAAGCATTGTTATGAACAAGAGAAAATGTTGAAGATAAGAAGATATAAAGTAATATGTAAAAGAGTTGTCTCGCTTGTCGCAGAAACGTATTCCAAGATGCAAATAAAAATTCTGCGTCTTTTGAGAATACCGTGTATTAAATGAAAACAACAACAACAAAGAAAAAAATGCGCACTTTTTAATAGACTATTAATATTAATGAATAGAACAGGTTATATCACCTACACCTATTTTTCTGCGATAGCGGAAATCAGCGTACGCAGTGACTGTTCACTTTTTAAAAATTATTTCATATGCTGTAAGTCCTCCCCTTTTCAGTTAAAGGGAGGATTTTGCAGTTCCTTTAAAGGACGCAACTTGAATTATTTTTGTGCTTTTAAGCAAAAGTCACAATCAAAGGCAGTTGAAAAATTCATAATATTAATATTTTCACAGTCATTTTTAATTCAACAAAATTTATGAAATGACTTTTAGGTTTATGCAGTTTGATTGCAAGTTTTAATTAGCATAAGTGCATTGTGGTCCTAAAAATCCCCGTAAAATTTGTTAAATAATTAGTAATCCATCATTCGTAATAAGAGGTTGTTTAAATTTGTTACAGTTCCGCGACAAGTACATGTAAATGAACTCGTGTAAATCCTACATGGTTAAAACTTAACCTTTAGAGTATCAATTAACCTTGGATAGCAGGTGACAACGTTTTCGCAAAATTGAAATCTTAAGCTCTGTGAAGATTTCAGAGAATGGGTCGTGCATACCAGCTAAAACGGTAAAGAAAGTTCCGTTTTTAAGAAAAAGGAAATAATGCAGTTTCTAAAATGACAATATAACGCAGCTCATTACTTTATGACTTAGACCTGATGAACACGTCGAACCATTTTCCAAGGTGGGGAAAATTGGGGGGTATTACAAGTAAATTACCCCTCAACTGATAAGCCATTCCCACCCCGATAAAAACTGAATATGATTAAAATCTTACTCTGACTTGTTGTCAGATTTGGGAGGGGGGGGGGTGTTGAGTGGTGAATGCCACCTTGATCGTAAATGATGGCACAGTCATGGTGTTAAACAACAGATAACACAGGACATATCAATACAATTTATCAATGCCCTCTAACTAGACGGATAGTCAAGTTATATCTAATATAGTAAGTACATGTGTTATCGACCTGCGCTGTGAGGGCGGAAAGCACCTAGATCTATAAATAGAAGATCTGCTTTTCTAGGAACTGAGCTTTAACCAGATTTCTGGAAATATGTCGACATTGTATATTAGGCTAGTGTATACTTGGAAATCAGTATTTATACTTGATAAACAGAGTTGTGTGAGATGGACGGTCATTTGCTTGCTAGCTTTACAGAAGACGTTTATGAAAGAGATTTAGTTAATAGTAACGGGGATGAAGATAACTATTATGAATGGCAAGCCCCATTATGAATTTCAAAGGCTGCCAGATAAAATTTGCGATGACCCCTTGCGTGGTCAAGGGGATTATTCAAAGTCCAAATGTCTAATGGCCGAGGGAATTTTGTCATCTTCGTTCAATATCATAAATGGACCAAACGAAAGTAAGACCGTGGCCGTAATAGAAAAAAATGAAAGCATTCAAAAGTGTAAGGAATGTAGTACAGATAAAGACGATGAGAGAGAGCCAGCTTATTACTGTGCAAAGGATATGGTGATTCAGATTGGAACCACTTGTTCACTTTTACAGACAGGATGGTATTACGAAAATTTCACGAGTCAGGAGGCCAAAAATTTATTACGAAAGGAACCAGTCGGGACATTTTTAATCAGGGACAGTTCTGATCCAAAATACTTATATTCTCTTAGTGTCAAAACGTCTCGGGGGACTACAAGCGTTCGGATTCTTTATCATAAGGGACAGTTTCAGTTGGACAGTGACGAACGGATTAGTGCAAAAATGCCCAAATTTGACAGTGCGGTACGTTTGGTGGATTTTTATGCGCGTTTGACCAGTATGGGGAAAAGTTATGTATGTCGATGGCTGGAGAGCTCGGGGAGAAAGGATTTACCAATAGTATTGCAAAAACCTAAAGCCAATTGCGTGGTGGATTTAAAACAATTGTGTCGTTTATCAGTAAACAGGAGTTTACCAAAAACTTTAAGTAGATCAAAAGTGTTGAGTTATATGGATAAATTACCCGTTCCTAAGCCAATCAAGAACTATCTGAAGGAATATCCTTACATACATTGACTGTAGTGACTCATTTCTAAAAATAACCGGGTAATGTTCGTATATAATGGCAGCTCCAATGTTTTCATATGCATTGGTAAAATATAAGACACTAACTACCTCGATATTTGTGTAGCAGTATTTATTTAAGTTATTTATTTGATTTTTTGTTCATTTATGTTATAAATTTGGGTGCTATTGATGATTTTTTTTTTTTGTGTGGGTTAACCATACTTGTTGAAATGAAATAATTAAACTAGAAACAGTAAAATAGATTATATGTATTTGTTCGTGTTTTCACCGAGGATTTTTAAGTTATTTTAGTAGATTCAGGGGTTTTTAAATAAAAGAATTAAAATGACCCACAGGGATCTACAAAATCGCATGCAAGAACTTCCTTGTTATGTTTTTGGAATTGCAAGGGGGTTTTAAATATTTTTTTTTAATAAAAAGATCGATTCTCAACATTTAGCACGTGCCATGTATTCATTGCCAATGTCAAATGAAATATCACTTTTCAAAAAGAAAAAAAAATCCAATACTGATCAAACATTTCCCGTTTCGATTGGCATTTTTCATTGAATTGCAGTTTCATAGTATATATATTGGACACCTTTACAATATATAATATTCTTTCATTAAAAAAGAAAACAATGGCATATAATATCTGATGAGACGTTATCTAAATGAGTGTGAATCAATCTGCATTTTATGTTCAGGATATGCTAATAAAAAGGAAACGATAAAAGATACCTTCATTTTCGGTGCATTGAATTTATTTTAAAATATCAGACGTGCACGTTTACGGTATAATTTGATCTATTTATCAAATAATTTTAAAAACTGTACATTCATATATCGGAAAAGTAATATATGTTATTTTAACAAAAAAGTTAAAAAGATATAACTGTGCCAACATTTTTAAAACTTTATCAGATCTTAGCAACGAGAGAGGTGGGGGTGGAGTGGGGTAAAAAGTCTTTCAGATTCTTAAATATGTTGTACAAATATTATAGCTAATAAGGTATTATTATTGAAACAGGCATGTTCAATGAGAAAGATAAACCTATTCACACCTGGATTTCCACGAAATCAACACATCAGCTGTTAGTCTTACGGAATTGATAAAATACACCTTTATGTATTGATTATTTGATTTAATCTTTCCTATCGCCAGATTTATTTCATCTGCGTTCGGGTGTGCAGTTCATTCATTGCTGTGGATTCGCTAGTTTTACACATGGCATATAATTCGTGTTTTTCTTTTTAATCATAATTTTTCTTGTGGAATGCAAGTTAATCTTACGTATTTTCTTAAACTTGATTTGTAAACATAATATTAACATTATAACAGTCTAATACTTTTTGAAAAGTAAGGCCAAGTTGTGTCATTTACACCTACGTGTAAGTTTCAGGAAACCAGTAAGGGACCGGAAGTTAGGAATGACGTCCGGATGTTGTCGTGTACAACATACCCTTATTGAGGTCTAATATTTACATTTTTCTAGGTGTGTTACATGTACCCATCCCCAATGGGGATCGTTCTAAAGACGCAAATGTACTTTTAATAACGTATGAGACTTGCGTAAATGAACACTTTTTTTTCATTGAGAATTTGATATGACACGGAACGATACGAATCTTTGAAACATAAAGCAGTGCTGGTAACGAACCGATCACAAGGTCAAGAATTATATCATTTTGCATTCATTAAAAATCGTTGCACCAAGTTCCTCTATGGTGATGGTTGATAATTAGCATGTGTAGGAAATAACAAATTTTGTGAGTTCTTGTCATCAACTCCTAATTTAAGTTTCCGAACATGCATTGTTTTATTAAAATGGTTTTTAAAAAAAGTCTAAAGGTGATGTACATAAACAAGACAGTTTATTGGAATATCTCTGTCTTTGAAAATATTGCCGGAAAAAGCATGATGTGCCTCAAGGATAACCTTATACAATGTACTTTTATAAAATGAGTTGTGGTTTTAAAGTGCCTGTTTCCTAAAATGAGATTTAGCCTACAGTAATGCCATTAATAAAAATCTGTGAAGAGCATTGTGTTTTTAGGGGAAAAGACAGCTTCGTTCAGTTTCAGAAAAAAAAAATGAAAGAAGAGAATTTTCTTAAAATGTCTTTGACAAAAAAGAAAATAGTTTTCAGGAAGTGCTAACAATACTACTTTTATTTTCGCTTTTATTTCTGTAGAAAACTATTTTCATGAAAGAAATGGAAATATGCCTGATGATGCAAAAAAAAAAAAAAAAACATATCAGAGGGAATATATTGATTTTTAGTTTTGTTCCACCGTGCTCCTATCTTTTTATTTATTTATTAATTTTTTTTTAATTTTAATTAGCTACGTATTACCTATGAAGGTCCCCACATAAATCAAGCCGTTTGTCTTTCTATTCATATACTCGTTTTTTTTTGTTTTTTTTTTTTGTCGTGCGTAATAACATCAATTAACTTTTTCTGACAACGACGTGTCACATTAAAGGCATAGCAGGTCGTAGGAAATAATATACACGAAAATACTAATATTCTATCTGCTTAACTGTTTCCCACTGGATCTCGACTCCCTTTAGTAACAAATAAAAACAGAATATTTCACCCATGTCTTGGAGTAGTGATACTTTCATTGATTCTTTGATGTTGACAAATATATAACGCGTAAATTATATTGCCAAGAAAACAAGTACAGAACAACTATAAGAAAAACGTGCGATTACACGTGATCACACTGTTCCCATTTCATTTCGGTTAATTCGAACCAATATAGAACTATTTACATAAATTCGTTACGAGAAAAAGGTACGAGATAAAATTTACGTGTTAGTGTGTACATTTAATCATTTCACAAAAATAATAAAGCATTTGTGGAAAACACACACACATATGCACGCAAAGGATGACTGCACTTAACGCCTATTTTTGGGTCTTTTTCGGTTGCTTCTGTTGCTTTTATATCTAAACTTTATTTCACTTTTGTATGTTTATGAAAGAATCCTGTCAATTTGGAACCAAATTTAAATCTTAAAATGATTGTAGATTGTGATACAATAAAATGATTCAATGTTTTTTGTCCTTACTGCTTTCCAAATATAGTGACTTTACACTTACCTGCCCTTGATTGAACATTAGATATGCATGAGAGGTGGAGCTAACATTGTAAGAATGGCTCTAAAATTAGACTTGATAAATAACAATGACATGTTTGGAAAAAAGAACGTGATCACTCTTTCCAATCTCCCTCTCCATTCTGTATGGCACAAATACACTTCTGACAAAAGCTTCAAAACGAAATTAACAATATGAGCACGTCAATGTAATTAAAGCAGATTTTATATCAATGCCAGATGACTTGACGTGTTCGAACACAATGTCCTAGTTAGCACAAAACATGCTACCTTACAAGTCACGTGACGGAATTTAGTATTCACAAAGTTATCTTGGGTAAGAAATCACGTGGTGAATTATAATATTCAACATGTCACTATCCTTGGTTACAACACAGAGAGCGGATGTAAGAAGAAGCCGTTTTTTCTCTTTTTAACCATGAGCGCATGTTTGTCTATTAATCTCCTTTTGACACATTATTATTTATGCAAATATACAACTACTGTTAAACGTAGAACAATAGACAAACATGCGCTGACTATGTATAAAGTCAGTAAAAAAGTGGGCGTCCTCATTATCGAACGGAGATTCAAGAAATTGTGATGACCCCTGCCTTTGAAAACAGATTCGAAATTCGTAAATACACACTTTTATTAAACGTAATTACATAAAGTTGTAGATTGGATGTTGACCATTCTTACAATGAAAAGAAATATGCTTGTTTTGAAAGTTTATTTTGTCGCAAATTTCGTGTGTCCTTAAGTGCAGTCATCCTTTAGATTCTTTCGTTATACAATTCCATTCTCGGAAATACTTTTTGCCTCAAAGAAATCAACGCAGGCTGGCACTGTGCAGCACTTTCTTTTTCTGGGACACAAGGGCATGAGATCGTTTGAACGTTTCACAAGTAATAGCCACGCATTCGGAAGCAATTTCAGTTGGGAGGGGGGGGGGGTACTACGCAAAAATTCTTTAACTGACCAAAAAAAAAAAGTCATCAGACGTTTTTATTGAGGGAGCACGCTTTCTATAGCTATGCTTTCTATAGTATACTATATATCGGCAAAATTATTGAGGGGGGTCCTCCCTCCCGAAAGGCAAGCTATCTGTTATTTTTGCATGAAGTCTAACCTCTAGCATATCTTATAAATTGGTGTTAAACGCTTCCCTGTAATTTCATAATATAGCAGATTGCTTATTTCCGCGAAGGTTTGAAACTTCGAAGGTCAAATGCCTTTCTTAAAATTATTGTCAGTGACCTTAACCTTAGACTTATTGACCTAGAATCGTCAGGGATGCGTTCAAGATCGTAGCAGCCACATAGGTCTAAGTAGAGCTACCCGCTACGCTATTGAACGTTATGCTAGCCTAGCCGCTACATAGGGATAACAATCGTTTGATTGATTCATACAAGCGTTCAATAGACCGCTAGCCTAGCAGCTAGGCTAGATATCTCCGGCTTTAGCCATGGCTTCTACTTCTGATCACCAGGTACTTTTATAGCAAGAATGAGATTGAAAATCAATGAGAATACATGAATTCATAAAAAGTTGCTAACACCTATCGCATTGACTCTGAGTGGATACATTTCAGATTCTACGAAAGCTTTACCGACTACCTTAATATAACATTGAAATGTTACGTTTTCTTCCCCGCAAAGTTTTTTCCCCATATGACGACCTTTGATTTGCAAAGAAGATAAAAATGTCCTGAAATGCAATATCTAGTTTTAGAGAAAAGGTGTGTAAGGTCATCTTTTTAGCCTTAACCGTACAGAAGTCAAGTTCATTTTCCAAAAATCGTAAATATCGAATGTCACAAAAACACTTGACCTTTACGTGGGGTATTTTGTTGTTTACAACAAATTTGACTAGTTAGAACAGCCGAAATATTTAAGGCGTAAAAAAATCTATGCCGTCTTTTATGAAAATTATTCAATGAAATTTATAATGTAATCTACCACACTCAGATTCCATATACTATTTCATATGGCGTTATCTGTACATCAAATGGTACTTAGATTTTCTTCCAACTGAAACCGTTTTCAAAATATCCCTGGGGTTGTTCTAGACATGCAGTGGGCTATTTTTTAAAATTAGCTTATTTTCAATATTAAAGTTACTCACAATAATATAATTT